TTTTATATTATTCTATTTCTCCTGCTACTGGCATGTATCTCATTTTTCCCCGTTGCGTACTTTTCATAGGGGGGGCCACCTTGGCCTCTTTCCCACCCCCTCGCTTCCCATTTGACGCTGCTTCGCTCTGAGCAGGAAAAAAAAAAAAAAAAAAAAGAAAAAAACAAATGGGTAAGCATTTACATGCTCGCCACACGTTCATAGAGACAACAGATCGGCCTAAGCCACCCCACCATTCACGTACACCATTTGGTACCTTCAACAAACAAGTAACCAGGACAGAAGAAAAAAAAAAAAACTTCCTCAGGTTTAGCATTTTGTAGACAAAATTTAGAAAGTCATTTTTGAGGACACCCAAAAGGAACAATTGGAAAAAAAAAAAATTCACATGCTCCAAAATAGGACAGATGACATTTTAAGTAAATGTAGCAATGCGCACTGTAAAATTAAAAGAAATAAAATTGCGTCCTCAATAGGGGCATAAATGTGTGTATTTAAAAAAAAAACCAAATATGTAAAATGCCTGACTTTGACACCCTTTTGACAATTTTGTTCTCCATGCAACGGCGCGGCGGCAGCTCGAGATCACGAAACTTGAAGTCTGACCCTTTTGCGCAAAATGAAGCCTCATTCTGGTGATTAGCTCATTTATGGGGAAAGATAAAAATGGAAAATGCAGAAAGGGGAGGGGAAAAAAGGCAGAAAAGGGAGCAGAAAAAATGCAGAAAAGGGAGCGGACAGAATGCAGAAAGGGGCACCGACAATATGCAGAAAGAACGCAGAAAAAAAAATAAGCCTGCGCGTGCCCTGGTGCACGCATTAAAACCGCCTTTTTTCAAATTGAACACAAAGGCGACCAGACAAAACGGGGGAGATAAGCCTACCCCATGGGTGTGAACAGAGTGCTCAGACTTCTTCCTCATGTTCAGAATGCAAACCATCTCAGCAAGTCACGACGACATCATGCACCCACGTAGGAGCACATTTTAGAGCCAAAATGTTGGACCTACCCCCACCCCCCTTACTTTTTTTATTTTCCGTTCCAATGAGTCCATTTTTTTTCCCCCCTCTCAGAGGACTCCATATGAGGAAGGCAAATTGCGCTTCGTAGGAGTGAAGCTGTGTACAGTCCATTCTTTTTAAATGACTTCGAAACTTCGAAGGATAAAAATCATCAACCTTGTGCAGACTACCATCAAAAGAAATAATTCATGTGAACGCGCTAACGAATCGGTTGAGATGGAACTTCTCAAACGTTGTCATCATTTGGAGTGTCCACATTTGAAGCGTCGCGGTGCAAATAATTTCCCATGGCAGACGTTGCCATGAATAAGTGGGCTCTCTTCCATGTTCCTAAATTGTGACAGTTCCTCATCCGTATGGTGAATGCACATATGTATATTGTTACGCTTTTGTTTTCTTTTTTTTTCTACTTCCTTTTCTTCGATTTGTTGTGTACTCCCTCTCTTCGTCTCATTGCAGACACTCCAAAGATTGAATACACAAGAAATTGAAGAAAAGGAAGCAGAAAAAAAAAAAAATACACAAAAATGACCGACTTGTATTTATATATCCCATGTGGATAGAAAAAATAAAAAAGGAATTTATCAGAACAAATAAAAAATGCACATCATGTTCAATTTAAACAATCGCGCGAAGTCCATTTTGACGTGCACGTGTGTTTGGGTGAATCACAGGCATATGCGTAAAAGTACGTGAGCAACAGGGCGATTGCCCTGGGGGAAGAGACTCTCTATATACTTTCCCCTTTTGTCGTGTGTAGAGGGTCGTCCCAAAGTAAAGGGTGCAAATACAATGCAGGACGAA